TAATTTGGAAATCTTTTGATCAAATTGGATTAGTTTTTACCCGGAACCTAAGCAAAATTCCAACAACTCCAGATCTTCAGCCAACGATAGTTACACTGTGATGATTGAAAAGGTTTCTATGAAGAGACTACATAAGGATCGATTGTATTTCCAAAACTCCAATTGAAATGGAGTTAAATGCTAAAAATCTGAACCATATTTGGCTTTTAAAAGTAAATTTCCTTTTTGATCGAAATCTGATTAATTTATTAACAGGATAGGTTTGTAATAAGTAACATTCCGAATTCCCAATTTAAATGGATCATAAAGAAAAGTAATGATCATTGTTGTAAGTTTGATATCACACCAATCAACATCAAGATTTATTTAAATAAATTTTATTCGTGTTTAATATTAAAGAACTCGTTGTTCGATTAAATGAATTGTAAACGTTTATACTAAAGCCTAAAAAAAAAATTTACAGTAATCATATTTATTTTACTACTTCATATTATATAATTTAATAATAATGTTCCCGTTATATTTAACTTTAAACATAATTAGAATAATTCAAATTGGTATTAATTTTAAATTTAATCATCTTTTTAATAATTTATTTATTATAATGTATTTTAATTTAATTATTAAAAAAAGTTAATTAATAAAAAATATACTGTATATACTATATATATATAAATTATATTTTAAATCTTAAAAGATTAATTAGCTTTTTTATTAATTTTAATTCTTAATTTTTAAAATTAACATATATTGATATATATATAAAGTAAAAAAATAATAATATAAGGATATTCTAATTAAAATTATTATTTTATTTCTTAAATTGTTTAATAAATAACTTTGCCTATGAACTTAAAAAAAAATATTAAAATATTAATTAAATAAAATATAAAATATTAATTTAATAAAATAATTATTTAAAAAAATATTAAATTTTAATTATAAAAAAATTAAAATAAATCATATTTTACTAAAATCATCTATTATTATTTATTGAACTAAACTAGAAATTTCTAAAATATAATAAATTAAGAAGGTAAAAATTGAAATTAAAATATTAAAAAATATTTACTAAATTAAAATAGTTTTATAATATCTAAAGTAATAAGGTAAAATAGTGATTTTAAATAAAAATATTCATAAAATACTTTTTTATATTTTTAAAATTATTTCTATTATACAAATCATTAAAAAATTTAAGCTTTTAAATAGTAATGCTAAACAAAATTGAAATATTTTGTTATATTATAAAATCAAAAAACTTTCATCATTACAATTCAAATTTTTGAAATTCTAAAATGTTTCATCATATGATAAAACTGAAAATCATGTATACATTTTATATTGAAATGTGACTGTATAGAAAATTTTTCTATATAGTCAACTTCTTATTAAAATTATATGAATTGTAATTATATAAAGATTTCTAATTTATAAATAACATATTACTAAATTATCAATTGAAAAATTGCTATAATGCTATTTGTTATTATTTTTTTTATTTAACAGATTAAAATATTCAATAATAGTTTTTATTTATTTAAATTTTATAATAATAATATATAAATAAAAAAAAAAAAATTTATTAATAGAATAAATTTATAATATTAAAGTATACTTCTCTTAGTTAGATATAGATTAACTTATAACTATTAATCCTAAATATCATGTAAAAGTTGTAAGTTTTATTCAGATTTTTTTAGCAAATTTGAAAAAAAAATTTATAAAAAAACTAAATTAAAATAAAAAGAAATGAGTAAAAATAATGAAATAGATAAAGAAAAAATAAAGACAAAAGAAATTCTTAAAATAAAATATAGATAATTAAATTTAAGTTAAAACAATATAATTAAATAAATTTTTTACCTTGATTAACTAAACTTATATACTTTTGTTCTTTTATATAAAATGCTAGTATTAGTATATAGATATTTTACAATAAAGAGAAAAAAACTATCAAAAAAATTTTTTTATTTTATAAACTAAATCTTATTTTTTTTAGTAAAATAAATGCAGATTTAACATTAACTCAAAAATATTTTTTTAATGTTTCTTCCATTTTTATTATAAAATACCTATATTATATAGTTATACTAAAATTTTTTAAGTCATAAAATTATAAGTCATATAATTATATTATCATTGTTTAGAGTGAAGTATAGGATTATATATGTTTAAAAGTGTTAGTGAAAATATGTTGATCACGTAAATATTTTTGTTTATCCTATTATATCATATTATTCATACTGATCTATTTGATAAATAATTTTTATTATATCACTAATTTAATCGATAAACAATTTTTTTTGTATTACTAAAATTGCTGTTTTTGATTAAAATTATTACCCAAAAAGATTTTAAAATTATCTTTTTTTTACTACTTTTAAAAATTAAAAAATAAAACCCTCATTCCTTAATTAACTGTTTTCGAAATAATATATTTTTTGTGTATTTTGTAATTGTATGCTATTTAAAAAAATTAATAAAAAAGATTTTGTGTCTAATGTTTATATACTTTTTTTTTATTTATAACATTATATGCATATCATTTATATGCTTTAAAAAACTATTTTTTACTATTAAAAAAATTCTATCTAAACTTTTATTGCAATTGTATGCTTTAATTTTATATAAGAGAAACTAACTAGTCTTCTTCGTCTTTTCTTTTTTGCACTCTTTTGCAGTCTTTGATCTGCTGAAGTCTCTCAAAGTCGAATAGTTTGAAAAGAATATCTTTAAGGATACAGACCTGAAAAACTGCCATAAAGAAAAGACCAGCTATAAATTTTTTGTTTCTAATTTATTACAGCCTTTGTAAAATAAGCCTCTGGCTTTTGTGTATAGTAATAGCTTACGCAAGATGAATTGAAAATTATAGGCATAAATATGTTATTCTGAAGTTACTCTTCTAGGTATGTTGAATAGGCATAATTGGGATAACTCTGATCCCCTCTAATATAGCAATAATAGAACCTGTGTAAAGATTAAAAGAAATAAAAACTACTATAGGGAAAGAAGGTTATCCTTGAACTTCTTTGAATAAAATATCTTAGATAGTTCCTATTGAACTATTAATTAATCTAGTTTTAGTTTAAAGGTTTACCGTTAGCATAATGCATATACCTCTTGTCAGTAGCAACGGTGTTTTGAGACTATATAGGACCTTTACAATAGAAAAGGGAGAAACAGCTAGAAAAAATAAAAATTGAGTTAATGCTAAATCTGAACACATTTTGACCTAAAAATCATATTTGACATATAAAGTAAAATTGATTTTTTTTTCCCTTTTCTATTGTAAAGATCTCATATGCTACATCAGATTCAGCTATTTTAGCTTCTTTGCCACCTGTGTGTAAAGCTTGAATTTTGGCAATAGTACATTTAGAGATCTAAGTTAATTTATATTGACTACATTAACATCAATCCATTTTATTAGAACAAATGTAGTATTAAAGAATTTGTCATGTTCTGTTTTGCTTTGCTTATCTTCAATTCATGTGATCAGCATCTTCTAGTCAGCTAAAGTAGACTCACCATCATATAATCTTAAGAGAGTGTCTCTAAAATCCTGTTATTTTTTAGAATTCTCAAATTATTGCTATATAACATCAAGCTTGTACACTTCTTAAAACTATTTGTATGTATAGTCCTATTATTAGACAATATATCTCATTGATTGTTGATGTACATAGAAAAATCAAGTACAGGCGGAAGCTGACTGAAGTCATCAACTATAATAACTAATCTGCTATCAAAGTATTCATTATTATGTTTAGGAAATGCTTACCAGCGTCTCATATCAATTAATGCAAGTATTTAATATTCAACTATACTTTTCTCATCAATAATAATATACTTCACTTTTTTAATTTATCCTGTAACTACTTTAGCTGTTTTCCTTTTATATCAAAATTTTTATTATTGACAATTATTGAAATAGAAAGATTTGAGTGAATCGTCATCCTATTTATATTGAAGGCTACAATTCCTATTAGTGCAATTATAATTACAGGTAACTTTAACACAATTTCTATCATTTCTTGAAGTCTACTTCAAATTGCTTTGATGAGAAAGGTCTTTCCAGTTCCTGCAGTTCCTATTACAATGATTCTTAATAGTTTAGCTTGATGGCCTATAAGAATGCTATTATAATGAGATTCTATTCTCTTAAATACTATTATCTGTTTTTCATTTAAAATCTGATAATTCACACTTAAACTTTCATTTTCTCCATTTTCAGCATTTCTTAGTCTGATGCTAGAGACTCTATTAATGAATATATCAGTTTCTGTGATATCTGTATTAGAATATCATTGCTTATCATCATTAATTCAGTCATAATTTTAATCTACAGACCCCGCCAAAAGTCTCTAAACATTATTTTTTGGCTATTTCATATTGAATATATCATATGACTGTATAATACTGCAGTCATGTAATGTACCTGATCTTGTTTACTTAAATCAAACTAAATAAAGGCGTGTTTGGTTTGTTTATTTTGATTTTTAACTAAAATAAAATTTACCTTCTGAAAATCACGAAAATGTTCAAAGAACAATGCAGCAGTATATATTTTGCCGTTAATGTAGTGATAGTTACTAGACTATTGCTGCAAATATCAGTTGTGGATTTTTAACAGTATTTAGAACTTTAAAAAGAATGAATGATACCGGAACTGTTAATTCGAGACTTTGTTCTGGTTGATCATCTTTAATTAAAGATTCGCAGCGAAGCTAGCTGAAGCGATTTGTTACAACAAATTTGGGCTGTGATGAAGCAAATAAAGGCCTGACCAAGTACTAATTATTTAGTACTAAATGTGTAGCATATCATACATTAATAAATAAATTAATAAATTTTTTTAATAAACTTTTAAATTTTAAGTTTTACATTGAGCCAAAAAGCGTTCAGAGACTTTTGGCGGGGGTTTATATATTATGTGATCTTAGATTAGAACTGCAGTTAATAACTGCATTTAGTCACATCTCTGCAAGAATTATTCAATCAAGCTGAAATTCATCCTGCTCATCTTCTTTAAGTAATTCTTCAATAACTTCATTCATTTTACTTTCCTCGTTATCTGTGAGTATTCTAATTAAATCTGCTAGGTCTGCATTAATCTCTTCAATATAGTAGTCATACAGGTTTGATCATGTTATAGAGCTTTTTTCAGTTAATTATTAAAGATTTCAATGTTAAACATAAAAAAGTACCTTTACACAGCAGAATTTTTCCCATTAAGAACCTTTATACAATAGTGATAGACATAGAAAGATATATACAATATTTTTCTTTTTACACTTAATTCACTAATTTTTAACTAATTTACAGTCCCCAACGAAAAGAATGGCGAAAACATATTTTGACAGTATGTACAAACTTTATTTTAATGTATATTTTTTTTTTATTATTTATAAGAACAATACTAACGACAACTTTTATATG